ATTCTCTGTCTCCCTCTGTCTGCCCCTCCACTGCTTGCACGCCGTCTCTCGCATTGTCTCAAAAATAAATAAATCTTAAAAAAATTTTTTTTTTTTTTTTTTAGTAAATAATAAAGGAAGCAGCTTGAAAGAGTCAAAGGCTGGGCCCGTTTGAGCAACAGAATAAATAGCATAGTATGGACGACTGCTCGAAGTACAAAATACATCGGCAGGGTCCATCCTGATTATAAAGAAACACTCGAATGAGTAAAGAAATGAGATAAGAGACAAGTCTTTCATACAGAAGAAGTCCAAGAATATATGTACGTATTACCCATCCAACAGGTGGAGCTTTTCCTTTGGGTTCTGGACGATATCACCATCCATGAGCTTGAGTCCCTCATTGGGTGAGCCCCACTTGTCTCTCCCTCTCTCTCTCTCTCTCTGCCCCTTGCTCACTTGCGCCCCCCCCCACCACCACTTGTGGGATTCTCTTTCTCTTTCTCTCTCTGACCCTCGCTCACATGCGTCCTCTCTCTCTTAAAAACGAAGAAAGAAGGAAAGTTGGCGCAGTCCACATAAAGGCTGGGGTCCCAAAGTAAGGTCCCAATGTTGATTTTTTTTTTCATTTTGACAAACAGATCATGGTCACGCACACTATTAACGGGGGAACCTGGAGGAAACTCTCTGTACCGTATCTTTGCAACTTTTCTGTGAACCCCCAAATTAAATTCATTCCAAAATAAATGTATTTAAAAAAATTTAAAAACAGGGGTCTTTAAACTCTCAAGCCCTGCACAGCTCAACACAGCCTTTCCAAGGAAACGTGTCCAGGATGGAAACCCCAATGTCGTTTCTGCCTCCAGTGACAAAGGAACCAGAAAACGTGCCGTTCTTCGTTGGCCTCTATTCCCAGGACTGGAGCAGGGCTAGCCGCCGGCCAGGCCTGGTTGTCTGAGTCTTGTCTGCTCGACCCGGAAACGCAGGGCGACCCGGAGGCTGTGAGATCGGGGGTGACGTGAACAGCAGCCCTGCAGGTGGCCCGGTCTTGATTTCATCCCTCTCTCCGATGGGTAAACCCCAGCACTTCCCAGGAGGTGTGCAGCTGGTGTATAAACAGGGAGGGTGCAGGAAGGGTCAAGAGACAGCGGTGTTGGCTCCCTGCTCCCCAAGGCCTGAAGTGAAAAGTCCCGTGGGAAGCAGGCAATTTCGGGGAGCCTGCCAGGAGGTGCCAAATGCAAAACGCTGCCATCCCAGCGTCCCAAACACAGACAGGCCCTTGTTCCTCCGGGGCAGCCCCGGACGGTCAACGCAGTAGCAGCTCAAGGGTGTCTCCTAACCCCAGGGAGGGAGTGGTTACTTAGCGGTTACCTAAACCAGAGTAGTTACCTAGTCCGACCCCCCCAAACCCTGGAAGGTGGAGTCACCATCCTCCTTCTAAAGAGGGCAGGGAAGGGGTGGGCGAGGACAGGGCCGGGTCCCGCTGTCCGGGAAGAGAGTGGGCTTTTTCCCCTGAGACGGGAGGAGGTGCCTGGCCCAGAGGACTGAGCTGCAGCAGAGGCTGCCCCAGAGAGGCCGGCGTGGGATGGGGTCGACGGCGGAAGCAGACACTGGCCTGCTGGGTCCCCGCCATGGCTGAGCTAATGGGAAAGGCATGGGCGCCGTGGAGTTAGTCCCCAAAGCAGAGGACACTTGAGGGCACCTGAGTCCTCCAGGCTCAGAGGTTGAAGCCCTGACGCCCCTGTGACTGTGTTTGGAGAAAGGGCTTTTAGAAGGTAATTAAGGTACCGATGCCTGGGTGGCTCAGTCGGTTAAGCATCTTGATTTCAGCTCAGGTCATGATCTCACGGTTTGTGAGGTCGAGCCTCGAATCGGGCTCTGTGCGGACACTGAGGAGCCTGCTTGGGATTGTCTCTCTCTCCCTCTCCGCCCCTCCCCTGCTTGTGCACTCTCTCTATCTCTCTCTCTCAAAATAAATACATAAACTTAAAAAAAAGAAGGTAACTAACATCAAAGGATAATGAAGTCAGAAGGGTGGGGTCCTAATCTAGTAGGATTGGTGGCTTTGTAAGAGGAGGAATAGAGAGAGATTTCTCTGTCTCTCCCTCTCCACGTGCATGTGCTGGAGAGGCCACGGGGAGACACAGGGAGAAGGTCGCCATCTGGAAGCCAGATAGATAGAGAGTGCTCACCGTAAATGGAATCCGCCAGCACCTTGAATTTGAACATGCAGCTTCCAGAACTATCTGTTGTGTAAGACCCCCAGTCTGTGGTGTTTTGTTATAACAGCCCGGGCCAACCAAGACCTCGGTGCAGACGGGGCTGCTTCACAGAGACACATCCGAGCCGCCCCGGGGCTTGCTGGGCAACCAGAGAAAGCCTCCTGGGGGAGGAGGGCCTTGGCTGAGAAATGGGGATGGAGAAAAGACGGGGGGGGGGGGGGGGTAGGGGGGTGGGGAGACCTCCCCAGGAAAATGGTGATTGAAGAGGCAAAGCCATCTTCCGAAAATATGTTCTGGAAAGATGCTGTGCTCTTTTCTGTGGTTAAAATTCCACGTTGTGTCAAGAAGATTTATGTTTCCATCTTAAAAAAAGAATCATGCCAGGCATTTTAAAAAAACCTCTTAAAAATAGAAAAATGAGGAGAAACGAGTGGTTGGAGAAGTAGAAATGTGAAGCTGATGTGTTTACTGCTTTAGGCCAGAGGAAGAGTTGAGGGGGGTGGTTCGTGGGTCTCCCCTTCTTCCCGCCCCGAACCCACACACCGGAGGTGTGGTGCATGCACCTGCTGTGAAGAAGGCCTGCCCGGAGCGCAATGAGTAAGCAGCGAACCCATTTTCTCGGGTCTGGAACGTGCCTGTTGCTGAGGGAACCAGTTGCGAAAAGAAGGGAATCTGAAGTGAATGCCTTGTCTCCTCTGTTTTGCCCCAAAGTGACTGTCGGAGCTGGCTTCGCAGAGACGAGTAGAGTCTGGTTTGATTCCAAGTTAGGAGACATCCAAAGTTGCAGCCAAGTACGATCAAAGAGGCCGGTGTCTGAGCAAAACCCCAGACGGCTGTGTGGGATCCCCGTGCAAAGCAGGACTGAGGCCGGAGGGCCCCGAAGAGGGGTGACTGACCCTGGGGTCAAGGGTGGCAGGGTGGGAGGGTTCTAGAAGGCCCGCGGGGTGGGAGGGTTCCCAGGCAAGCACAACGCAGACCCCCGGGGCCCTCCCGTGCGGCAGAGGATGGGGCAGCGGTGAAGAACCAGACAGAGAGCAGGTGTCCGTGTGGACACAGAGCGCCGAGTACCCGGGGCCCCGACCTGCCCTAACTCCCCTGGTACCTAGAAGCTACCCAGGAAGAAGGAGGAGGCCCCAGACTGACCAAACCTAGGTCTCTGCCACTTCTGGCGAATGGCACTCTAAGTTTAAATTACGAATAACAGGGGCGCCTGGGTGGCGCAGTCGGTTAAGCCTCCGACTTCAGCCAGGTCACGATCTCGCGGTCCGTGAGTTCGAGCCCCGCGTCGGGCTCTGGGCTGATGGCTCAGAGCCTGGAGCCTGTTTCCGATTCTGTGTCTCCCTCTCTCTCTGCCCCTCGCCCGTTCATGCTCTGTCTCTCTCTGTCCCAAAAATAAATAAACGTTGAAAAAAAATTAAAAAAAAAATAAATTACGAATAACAGAAGAAAAAGGAAGATTTATTTCTTGAAGACCACTATCGGCTACGCTTCATTTCGTGCAGCCAATTTTATTCTAAGTTCCTACCGTGGGAAGAAGCACATTTGGAAAGAAGGAAGATAACTCGCCCGTGGGTCTATTTCCTGCCCCGGAATCGGGTAAGGAGACCAAGGAGAGGATTTCTTTCCGGAGAAAGAGTAACAGAAGGTGAGGGTAGAAATGTGCGCGACTCAAGCCTCCTGATGGCCTCCTGGGTGCCATCCGGGTGCGCAGGGCTCCACAAGAACTCTGCACCTGACTCTCCCTGGCCAGGAAGTGCCTCCGGGTCACAGCCTTGCCCAGTAGACCTTTGCCCAGTAGACCTTTGCAGGCGGAGGCTGTGTTTGCTCCTCTCTCCGCGCTGACTGCAAAGTCGGCCTTCACTAAATGAGTGTTCACTGTGTTTGGGGAAAGGGAACGAATGTAACGAAACAGCAGAAAACAGCATCACAGGTGTTTAAAAGGAGAGAGAAAACTGAAGCCTGTGTCCCTTGAATACCACCTGCCAGAAGTTCACTCCCACAGGTATTTAAATATATTAATTTGGGGCGCCTGGGTGGCCCAGGGGGTTAAGCGGCCGACTCTTGATTTCAGCTCAGGTCATGATCTCATGGGTTCGTGAGATCGAGCCCCGCATGGTCTCTATGCTGGGATTCTCTCTCTCTCTCCCTCTCTGCCCCTCAGCCCTGCTTGCCTGCTCTGTCTCTCAAAATGAATAAAGAAACATTAAATATATATATATATATATATATTCTTTCAATATACCCAACACCCTAAGGTAGATACATTAATTGCATTTTGCAGATGAGGAAACACGCCCAGGGAGGTTAAGTGGTTTTCCCAAAGTCACTCAGCTGGTAAATGGCAGAGAAATTATTTGAACCCAAAGGTGTCTTGCTCTAAAAACCTTTGCTCTCCCCACTAAATTGGTTGCCTGTGACAACTGTGAAGGAGTGTCTGTGGGGCGAAGGGCCACTCACCTCCTCTTTGAAAGCCACACCCCCTTTTACAGGCCTTACTCATGGAATCGCACCCACCACCGAGCCTCTTGCTTGTGTAAGGTGCCCGCCGCAGGTGCTGGGGGGGGGGGGGGACAGTGGCGCCAGGCACACAGCCCCGCCTTCTGCTGCTTATCCGGGACACCCGGGGTCCGGGGGCGGTGGGAGGATGTGGGAGAAGCCCCCTGACTCAATCACAAGTCCCAGAGCTTAACTTGAAACCCGTCAAGTAGGATCCGGTTCAATTAGCATAAAAGCAAATTAGCAATTACCAAGCTGTCAAGTCACAGCAGAGGCTCAGGAATTTCAACAACTATCGAGACATCATTTAAAAATATTTAATTCCACTTACATCATTCCAGCTGGGGAATCAGATTGCTTTTGCTTGGTTAGAGGTGTTCTTTGGGGAAAAGCATGAAAAGTGCCAAAAAGTTTCTCCCCCCACATAATGAGCAGACACGCGGAGAGCTGTGTAGACACGTTAGAGATTTACATGGAATAAGAAAGCATGTTACCCAGCTTCCTGGAGACAGTATAAACTTTAAATAAGATTGAAAATCCATCATACCTATGTTGATCAGATAATTAACAACATTTGCTGTCAGTGCCGTCTAATGCTACAACGCCTCAGGATGGTCCCTTTCTGCACTTAAACTTCTGAATCAGGCTTCTGTGGACAGGTAGTCACAGGTCCTGGTTCTCCGAGGGCAAGCAGCTCTCTCTGAGGGTGTGTCCCCAGCATCCCTCTCTCTGAAGATGTTCCCAGCATCCTTCTCTCTGAGGGTGTTCTCAGCATCCTTCTCTCTGAGAGTGTGTCCACAGTACCCCTGTCTCTACGAGGGTATGGTCCCAGCATCCCTCTCTCTCTGATGGTGTCTCCCCAACATCTACAGACAGCAACCCTGTGAGATAGAAATTATTATCCCCATTTTACAGGTGAAGAAATCGAGGCATGGGATGTTTAAAGAACTTGACCAAGTGATAGAAGCCATAGCCAAACATAATGACTGCAGATCTAGGAAGTGATTGGATGAAAAAGCCAATCTCAAAAGGTTATATACCATAAGGCTCCATTCGGCAACATTCTTGAAATGATGAAATTCTAGAAAGGAAAGCAGATTAGTTGTTGCCAGGAGTTGGGGTTGGGGTGCAGGGAGGAGGGAGGGGGGTGTCATGATATGACAGCGACAGGAGGGATCGTTGTAGTGTTGGAACCATGCTGTATCTTGACTATGGTGTCAGAGATGCGGACCTTCACACGTGATAAGGTTGCACAGAACTAAACATGCACAGAATCGAGTACGTGTGAAACCGAGGTATCTGAATCAGAGGCACAGGTCTATGTCAATATGGCGGTGCTATTGGACTCAGTTCTGAAAGATCCACCCCTTAGAGGAAAACGGGTAAAGAAAACATGGGGTCTCGCTGTGCTGTTTCTTAGAATAACTTATAAATGTATAATCATCTCAAAATCAAAACTTCCAGTTTAAAAAATAGCATTTATAAAAAGTGCATGGGGACACCCATCAAATGTAGTATATATCTAAGAGGCTGTGACGTGATGTGCAGAATTTGTAGTTGTTTCCATCTGTCTAACAACATTTGTTTTTTAGAGAATGAACAACTGGGGTGGGGGGAGGGCAGAGGGAGAGAGAGAGAGAAGTTCAAGCAGGTTCCATGCTTAGTGTGGACCCTGATGTAGGCTCGATCCTCTGACCCTGAGATCACCCTGAGAGTCACCCAGGAATCAGACTCTCAACCGACTGAGCCACCCAGGCACCCCTTCTCTAACAACTTTTATAAATTCTATTTTAAGGTTCTATACATGCTGTGAACTTCAACTAAAAAAGGTATAATAAAAATAAATGCGTTTTGGCTTAAAAAAGAAAGTGCTCAGAAATTTAGAGGAACGATTCCCTTCTTGCTGAAAGAATGATGCGGACGATGTTTGAGTTCGGTCTTGAAGGATAAGGATAAGGTGTGTCTTGACAGGTCAGGTGAAAAGGAAGAATGTTCCATGGCGAAAGGACAGAAGCCAAGTTCAGACAATTCAAGACAAATACAGTCCGGGTTTTCGAGAACTGGTCCCATTCAGACAGGAAGCACAGTCCCAATCTGTACTTGCTTAATCCTCAACAATGTTGATATTTTTTTTTTTTTTCAGTTTTGGGGTAAAGTTACATTCAGTTTTTGTTTTCCTTTTGAACGTTTTTTTTCTACTTAAAAATTGCGTGTCTCCCCCTGCGCTTGTCCTCTCAATGCCCTGTTCTCGGCTGTCGAGGAGACTCCGCTCGTGGTGATGGAAAAACCATGGCTCGACGACCAAAAGACCTCAGTTCAAATCACTATTCCATCCCTCACTTGCGAGCTATCATCCCACAAGTATCTGGACTTCAGTTTCCTCTTTTGTAAAGTGGAGATTATATTACCTACTTTGTAGGGTTGTTATGACCACCCAGCAGCATGGTATATGTCAAAGTGCTTTGCCAATGGTAAAGTGCTAAAGAGATGTGAATTGCTAATATTGACAAACTCATTCACATGAAGGCATGCATTACTGATAACAGCTTCATATCCTGCTCTTTGAGGACAATCACTGTGGGAGACAGTACAGGCTTGGAGAAAGGCAGACCCGATCCAGATTCCCGATATGCCACTGCATTAAGGGAACCTCATCCCCTTGTGCAAACCCTCTCACGTTTCAGTTTCCTGATCTGTGAACAGGAGTAAGAGAACCTCACAGAGTTGTCGTAAGAATGAAATTGTGACAAGTAAGCAACATACATTAAGTTCAGCGAGATAATTTCTATAAAGTACATAAAATATATGTCATTCACTATTACTATTATTATTAATATTTCAAAGGAGTGTCTTTTCAAGTGATGGGAAGGTAACCCCTGGCCTTGGCTTAGATGCATTCTACTGCCCAACCCACGCTCTTCCCACCCCGACCTCACCTCGGTTTCAGCCGTCCATCTTCCTCCACGGTCCTAAAATGCCCACCTCACTCCTTGTGCAGAGGCCTCCTCAGTCATCTCTTGCTTAGTGAAGCTCATTCTCTAGTAGATTCTGCCGGAAAGCATTAGGGTGCAGCGTTCCCCAAGTTCTTGTCCGTTTTGAAAACTGTCTTACAGGGGCGCCTGGGTGGCTCCGTCGGTTAAGCATCTGACTTCGGCTTGGGTCGTGATCTCACGGTTTGTGAGTTCGAGCCCCGGGTCGGGCTCTGTATCGACAGCTCGGAGCCTGGAGCCTGCTTCAGATTCCGTGTCTCCCTCGCTCTCTGCCCCTCCCCCACTCACACTCTGTCTCTCTCTCAAAAATAAACCAAAAAAAAATTTTTTTTAATGTTTATTTATTTCTGAGACAGAGAGAGACAGAGCATGAGTGGGGGAGGAGCAGAGAGAGAGGGAGGGAGACACGGAATCAGAAACAGGCTCCAGGCTCCCAGCTGTCAGCACAGAGCCCGACCCGGGGCTCAAACTCACGAACCGTGAGATCATGACCTGGGCTGAAGTCTGGTGCTCAACCGACTGAGCCACCCAGGCGCCCCTCTCCAATTTTTTTCCTGAACTCAGTCGCCCTTTTCTCGATCTCTTCCTAGTTGTTGTCGTTTACATCTTTCTTCTTAGTTTTTGAACTTCTGATCCACCGTGGTTTTATCCTCAAAGGCATCTTTGAGTATATTTAGTTCTGTTCGAACTGTCCTCTGGTCTGGGGCGCTGCTAACACCGGGTGGACCCATCGATCTTTTTCGTATCGGTGCCCGTGGCGTCGGTGTTTTGCTGGACTCCCGGCTGAACTTCACTCTGTCCTGTCAGCGGGCAAGTCCAGGGGCTTGAGTGGATGTTTTTGTTTGGTTCATTCGGCAGCGAGGGCACTGTTTGCATGTTCTCCCACGTGTGGCTCATCTTTCTTGCTAGACCCCAAACTTTCTCCTCTTGTTCCTGCCCCCCTCCAGCACCCAGGTTTTAAAAGACTCCTTCCTCTCTCCCTCCCTATTTGCCTTTCTAGCCTCAGAAGCTGGCTTTTATTATTTATTTAATGTTTTATGCGTTTTTGAGAGGGGGGAGGGGCAGAGAGCGCAGGGACAGAGGATCCGAAGCGGGCTCGGTGCTGAGAGCAAAGAGCCCGACCCGGGGCTCGAACTCACGAACCGCGAGATCGGGACCCGAGCCGACCTCGGACACTTAACTGAGCCACCCAGGCACCCCTAGAAGCTGGCGTTTTTAAAGACAGCTCCTTCGAACTACACGTCGTTTTAAGTCCCTTCCTGGAGTCTGTGTCCTGATCTATCCAAATACACTCTTCATGTTTTCATATTTAGGGTCCATTTTGTCTTTGTGACGATGGCTGTGGACCAGCTTCAGGCTCCTCACCAGCACCACTCTTCTCTCCTGCTTCTGTTTTTCCTGGTTTGACTTCACTTTCTTTTTTTTAAATGGTTATATATTCTTGAGACAGAGAGAGAGAGAGTGACAGAGCGCAAGCAGGGGAAGGGCGGAGAGAGAGGGAGACGCAGAATCCGAGGCAGGCTCCAGGCTCTGACCTGTCAGCACAGAGCCCGACGTGGGGCTCGAACCCATAAGCTGTGAGATCACGACCTGAGCCAAAGTCGGAAGCTTAGCCAACTGAGCTACCCAGGCACCCTTGGACTTCACTTTCTACAAAGCCTGAGGTCGGGTGAAGAACATGAGAAATTGCGTTATTGGATTTGGTGGATTTTTTCTCTCGTAACTTATTTGGAAGAAGGGGCATTCTCTGCCTTCGAATTTTTCTGACAGTGAACATATGTACAGATTTTTCCCCAGAGCATTAGAAATGAGGAAAGACTCCCGAATTCCTTTCATGAATCAAGTGTAACATTGGTACCTGTGCCTGATAAAGACGGGAGGAATATAAGATCGCTACGAACCAATATCACTCGTGAGTATCAACGCAAAAATGCTAAATAAACAATTAGCCGGAAACATAAAATACCACGTCAAGAAAACACTCAAGAAATGAACAGGCCGATTTCATCCCAGCAATGCAATATTTACAACATGTGGGGCTACACAGATTAACTACAGGGCTCAGTCGTATGGCATCTGCCAAGGCATCGTGAATATGTAGAAAATCAGCTTGCCAAATGAAAGGAGGAAGATGAATTATACATCCAAAAACCCACCCAGACAGCACGCAACGCTTTTAGGAGACAATATTTGTCAAAAGTTGAGTTAGCGAGCACATCGAAACGCACTTAAGGCAGGGTTTTGACTCTCGCTGGATGAGTTTCAAACACCTTTGGGTCCATGTTAACGCTGGCTCCTTCCCTGAGCTGTGTTCAGATATAGATGTTGTCCTCTCCCAGCAAGGACGGGGCCAACCGTTCTGAGGTGCCCCCTCCCCGGGCCCCGGCCTCCTGTGAGCCACGTGTTCTCCTGAACTGAGCCACGTGTCCGTAGACTAAGCTACCACGGTGGGTTTGGTCTGTCCGTTAGTCCTCCTCCCTCCTGTCTCATCTGGCTCACCCCGGTTTCCAACGAAAATGGCTCTAACAGTAGGAAAAGGCTAGTCCTACGTTCTAGGCCCTGCTGTGCTTAGTAGGTGCGAGATTTTAAACAAAACACAGAACGGTCTACCTCCGCTTCCTCGTCTGTAAAACAGATCTTCATCCTTCACGGGGTTGTCGTAAGGCTGAAATGATCTAGTCCTTTGAAAGGAAGAAAGAAACACACGCAGAAAAGCGCAAACATACAAGTACATGGTCCTTGTTGCATAAGGGGGACAGGGTGGCTGTCATTGTAAGCTTTGGGCCAGGAAGTCTGCCAATTACTACAGTTTAATCAAGAATACATCCTGGGGTGCCTGGGTGGCTCAGTCGGTTAAGCGTCCGACTTCGGCTCAGGTCATGATCTCACGG